ATTCATGGAGAAAGAACATATCAAAAAGCGAATCTCCCACCATTAGGACAACCTATTTTGTTTTAGATGAAAACATATCAATATTGGTCTTAATTTGTAGATTTAATTGTAAGGAACTAAAAGGTTCAATCGGAGTATAAAATGGACGTATAGCTTAATAAATACGGTCATTTGAATATCCGTACTGATAAAAGGGAGACACATTTATTTTCAGGCTGCACATGGCCCATGCATAGTCCTGGACTCCTGGGCCAAAAGGAACAGTTTACGGCTTGGGCCGATCCACTAACATACTACTACACTGTCCCCTTTTTAGTTTCAGTGCCTTCATTTTTGCAGTTGTGCGACAAATAACAGCTTGCTCCCATTAGACCACCACCGGGCTGATGTTGTTAAGACCAGCAGCACCAGCTGCTCAGCACCCGGCTTAGTATCAAACAGCACCAGCCAGCTGCATAGAGCAAAGCAGCAGCAGCAGCTTAACTGAAAATGAGGATAACGGTAAGTTCTAGCATAGTATATCTAATGTACAATGTGAGTTTGCTATGAATCTGTGTATGTTAATCTCCCAAATTTTGACCCACTTTTGCACAAAAAAATTATTTTTCAAATAATTTTTTGTAAAAAGAGAAAAGACAGATCATTATTCGAGTCAGTTCATTATTATTTTGCAGCAAAAATCGCTGGAAATCCTGAAATTTAATAATATTGCTGGGGTCTAGTTATTTATAATTAACCATGAATCATTCTAAGGTCTATACCTAATCCGCATCTAACCAGGACGTCCGTTACCGCTCGGCAGAGAAAATGCTCGCCGAGATGATCACGATCCGCAAGTTCAACTAGTACGGATTTTCTACAATTTTCTAACTATTTTCTAAGTTTTTCATTTCATGGAAAAATTAATTCTAAGATCACGTAAGCCGCCGGGGACGAGGATGGCGCGTGCTCCAGCGAGGACGAGCGAGGCGTGATTTTGATGAACTAATTTAACTTTTGTTTATCCAAACATATATGCAAATCATCATGTGATTTTGAGCTAAAAATGACATAAAAAATCATAATAAAGTCCAACATATAAAGTTACACATGCATCTACATCGCAAAATGAGATAAGCTACTGATAAAACATAAGAGAATTAAGTTTGTTACCTCCAAAATCGAAGAGCAACACCAATAGAGGGGGAGAGAGCAAGAACAACAGCAAGCTGAAGAACAGAGGCAGTGAGTTTGAATGGAATGGCTCGGGCTCGGGGAGGAAGAAATGAGCCGTTGTATAGGCCCGCATAATTAGTCCCGGTTAGGTGACCAAACCGGGACTAAAGATTAATATTTATTCCCGGGGTATCACCCAAATCGGGACTAAAACCTTTAGTCCCGGTTGGTACCTTTAGTCCCGGTTGGTAATACTAGCCGAGACTAAAGATCCCTGTCACGCGGACGACCGTTGGGCAGGGACCTTTAGTCCCGGTTGGTATTACGAACCGGGACTAAAGGGTAAAAAATGCCGAGGCTAATGCTAAATTGGGATATCGTTCTAAAGTCTGTTCTCTAGTAGTGACAATTTGATATCGGCAAACTGAATTTCAGTATTGTTAACGATTTGTCTAGTTCACTAAAGATGCCAACTAACAGATACAAAGTCAGGCAAGCCCGAATTTGATACTCGCTGGAGGCAGGCCAAGCAAAAGCACAAGAGTGCCTCTACTCTAGCAAGATTCGCAGTGCCGCCTTATGGCCTCTAGTAGCTGTTGGGATGTGCGTTATTTGATCATATTCCTCTTTTCCTGCAGGATACTCGACTGTGTTTCACACTTTGTAGAGAGCAGGTAACTCAAATAATGCTATTTTGTAGTCCATTTTTCTCATCCCACTATATTAACTGGTGAATCCATAGTTAATATATATAGGATTTGCTATTTCTATAGAGGAAAAATGAGTATTAGCAATGCCATCAATTTGGAACAACATATCATCTCAATCAAAATAAAATTGCAATTCAATCAATTTAAGAGAAATTGTCCATGCGTGTCATACGATGGCATAGAAAGCTTTGAATATTGTTAATGCTCTTGCATCTTCATAGTTTAAGAGCAAATTGCTTTTAGTTTAGAATGACTAGGAGCTAGTCTTTCTTTCTTTTATCTACAAAGAGCAGTCACCTTCATATTTTGTGCAAATAGTACAATGACCTTCTCCTCCTCGTCATCTTCATTGTCTTTATTTATTTGCCAATGTTGTGTCGAGCCATCTGCAATAATGTGGAAATGCAACTCAATCTTCCCATGGAATATTTTTAAGTGACCCCACAATGATAAATTATATTATCATTGGTCACAAGTTGTGACTTATGAATGACGTTGTAGTTATGTTATATATAATCAACTGATAAGTAGTATATAATAGCCGGTAGCTAGTGACATGTTAGGTAATCGAGAAGGTATTACGTACATCTTACGAATCCTTGTTCTCATAGTGAGAACAAGGTGTAATATACTCCTTAGGTCCTACAGAAAGGGATCATCGCATTTTCAGGATAGATTAGTGACCAACTATAACGTAGTGTGTATCCCTAATCTTTTCAATTTTTGCATGTGTTGATTGGACCAAGATAAATAATCACATCCATATACCAAGAGTTGAGTGCGCCACAAACTAGTTCTAAACGGCACTCCCTCCATTTTTTGCATGTATACTTAACCAACCCAACGGTGCTAAAATGGAAACATATATTTTTTGTTTCATACGTGCTTGTAAAACTTGGTTTACACGATGTTATATATATGACATGCATGTTTGCTCTGTGGTAATTTTGATATATTAATAGGGATCATCATAGGGAACTCAATCAAGATGGCCAGGCATCTGAGGAAGCACACATACTGCATGTCATTATCATGAACATGATTTTGTCAGACAGCCGCGCGCTCCATCAAGAGACCACCTTTGTAAATGGCGATGCAGTCTCTAGGAAAATGCCAACCTGTGAAAATCATTTACAGGGGCAGGCCTCCTAAGGCAACTGCCCTTGTTTGACAGGGACGGTCCCTTAGAAAGCCCATGTTTGAAAATTGAGATGGCTGTCTTGGAAAATCAATATTTACAGAGATAGGTGTCCTAAGTATCCGTCTCTAAGACTCAATTAGCAAAGGCGAACATTTTAAGATATCAGTAAGGAGTTATTAGTTCACTAGGACGACGCGAGCAGCAACACGAGGTGGGGGTGCGGGGCTACGAGTTCTTGCGGGACAGGTACGTGTCCGTGGTCGTGTGGTATTCATTGGGCGTGACATATGCGGCCCCGTCCGCCGCGTGGCTCGCCTAGTTCGTGGAGATGGTGTACTGCCTGTTCTGGGCGTTCGATGGTGCCACATCCGTGTTCCAGGCGCGCCCTGGGTCTGGTTCTTGGAGGTGTTGATGGTCGGCGGCGCCTCCACCTCTGCTTCAACTCCGGCGGTGCCTCCACGTCTACTTCAACTACGGCTACTGGGGGAGGCAGCGGGGACGCCAGATCTGCCTCCACCTCTGCGGATCCACGGCCGGCGAGGCTGGATCCATTGGCAGGGAGGCGGATCCGGCGGGTGAGGCCGGCAGCTGGAGGCCGGATCGGTGAGCAGTGGTGGCAGCCCGTGGATGGGCTCAGTGGGCCTGAGAATGGGATCGTTGGGCTTGTCCATGGGTTTTGATTTTTTTTTTTTTATTTTATTTACTGTGGAGGTTTTTCCGACCACCACGGTTAAGGTCACAATTAACAATGACCTTGACTCCATGGTGGTTTTTCCAACCGCCACGGTTAATTCTTTTTTACCGCCACGGTAAAGATTTGTGTAGTAATGTATATTATTATGATTTGAACATTGAAATTTAAAGTTTTTAATGAACCTCGAATATTGACATTGTGTGTACAGATAGGAAGGCAAGAGAAAAAGTGGCAGAAGAAAATTTTGGTGTTTTATTATTAGGTATAGATAAGCTTTGGATTTGTTATTTTAAAGAGATTAATATTTTAATCTTTAAATAATCACGGATGGAGACACATCCTATACCAGTTGTGTGCTCGACAAGATTTAAATGTTTGTAGTTGAGTATTTTTCATTTGAGTTTACCTAATACTCAAAGCATTTAATACAAGATTGCAAAATATTTGTAAAAAAAAAAGACAATATCTACATCCACTAAGGTCACAGGTTTCAATCCTGCGAATGATTTCATTATTTGGTTTTCTGGGTTTTTCTGGAAAAATCGATTCTGGGAGGCAAAATATTTACAGTACTAGTGGGTGATGGGTATCGGTTAAACGTTTTGCATTTGGCTTTCCAAACTGATGATAAGTTCATCGACCTTTCGCTTTCAATAAGCAAATTAATGTAGTATCTCAGCTTGCAAAGACTTGGTCGCGGTCATCATAGTGGAAATACAGGGATGACCGGGCTTCTTTGTGTGGAAATTTCCTTGCACTGTGAAAGCGAGGTTAATAATATATATTTTGACGACGGAGGCTAACTGATGAGCTGGCAAAATATTTATTTATTGCCCCATTGGTAATAAATTAATAAAAACATAGTTAGTGCCAGGTTAGGTGAATAATGTGGTGAAAAACCTACATAAAGCCTTGAGCTGCTCTGTGTCTTCACTCCCCCTCCCCATACACGCACCATTGAGCAAATTCCTGCTCCCACCATGGTCCCTTATAAATTCCTTGGCGCGGTGCTGGTGAGTTGTAATTTTTCCGAATTGAAACATCTTTATTAGTTTGATTGGATCCACTGCCGCCATGCTTGTTTCATTTTGATCCGTTGCATTTTCTGCTGCTGCATCTTCATCTTTAGTGGATGAACTCTGCTTGAAGCAATATTTTGGCCACCGTTCTAATCTGTTTCTGATTTCAACATCCTTGTCGACATGTGCTTTCCAGATTCTTCAATTGATGAAATTCATAGGCTACAGTTAAGTTGGTTACCATCTTAGTAGTCAGTACTCAGGCTGTTGCTCCTTCGACCATGGGAGCCATGGAGTTCGTGACAGGAGCACTGGGCACACTGCTTCCGAAGCTTGGCCAGCTGCTCCAGGATGAGTACAACCTTCAGAATGGAGTGAAGAAAAACATTGAGTTCGTCATGAGAGAGCTGGACAGTATGCGTGCCGCGCTCCGCGATGTTGGAGAGGTGCCACAGGAGCAGCTCAACAATACAGTTAAGATCTGGGCTCGGGATGTTCGGGAGCTCTCCTACGACATGGAGGACATCGTTGACACCTTCCTGGTGCGCGTCCAGGGCTCTGAGCCCCCCAGCAAAAGGTTCATCAAGAAGATGACAAGTATTGTGGGTACAGCCAAGACTCGTCATGAGATCGGCCAAGAGATCAAGGGCATCAAGGAGCGTGTCATGGTGGTGGCCGAGCGGCGGGACAGGTCCGGTAACACCATAGAATTTGCATTTGAATGTCAATGAAATTTCCTCTTATTAACCATTTTGTCCCAGTTTTAATTTTATTCTCGCTCTCGGTAAAAGGTACAAGGTTGACTCTGTTACTCCTACCAAAACATGGACTGACCCTCGCATAACAGCTCTGTACACCAAGGCAGCTAGACTCGTCGGCATTGATGAGCCAAGGGATGAGCTGATCTCACTGTTGGCAACCGAAGATGGTGGCATCTCATCTGCTGAACAAAGGATAGTCTCTATTGTTGGCTTTGGAGGACTAGGGAAGACAACACTTGCTAAAGCAGTTTTTGACAAGATTAAACTGCAATTCAATTGCACGGGTTTTGTATCAGTGTCTCGTGATCCTAACTTTACAAAAGTTCTGAAGGACATTCTCTATGAGCTCGACAAGAAAGATTACAAGGACATTCACAACACTGCATTGGGTCAACAGCATCTCACCGATCTAGTCCATGAATTCCTAAAAAATAAAAGGTATGTTCCACCTCACGTGCAAGATCAAGTAATCATGGTATGAGTTGATCGGATGGAAACCCCCAAGGTTATTCCACACAGGTAGAATTGCAGGTTAAAGACATGTTGCAGGCTAACATTTTAGTTAATATATATACATATCTTTCTCTTTCTCTTTCTCTTTGTGTGTTATTTGCATGATGGTGGCACAACATGCATGTTTACTTTAATTAATTTTTGTGTAAGGAGGGCCAAGTTTTATTCTTTATTATAATGAAAAAGGAAGTTTGTTGATAGATCCATAAACATCATGGGTCCTGGTATCTTATATTACTAATTAGTACATTAACCAAAAGTGAACGTGATAAATAAGCCAATCTACAATTTTATAAGGTGGCCATTTTTTTCTTTTTCTTTTAAAAAAGATTTATGAATTATAATAGCAGAGGTGGATAATTTTTACCATCAAATAGTTACAAGCACTAATCTAGGGAAGTCAACTAATAACTTTTTATTAGAGTTGTAGTTCATTTTGAGCTTGCTATTTTTTGGATTGTTAGCTATAGTGTTTTGAACCTCTAGCACTAATTTTTCAGTGCTAACAATTAGCACTAATGGATCCAAGCATGCCCTAATAATAGCTATCGATTTGATGCCTAACCATATGTGCCAAATGATGCAAAGCTGCCATAATTAAACAACTTGAAGTCAGCATCAAGATTATAGCCTATGTCTATATACAACATGTGGATAACTATAAGTTATTTTGACTTTTTTGGTTCATCCATTTAGTTATGTATCTAGACATATTATTATATCTAGATATATTGCAAAATGGATGTACCAAAAAAGTCAAAGCGACTTATAATTTGATATGCAGGGAGTAGATACCTTGCAAAAAATAGATTTATACACTAGTGAAATTTTCCCAAAGAAAGCCAAATTATTGCAAAAGCTGCTGCCATATCATTTCAGTACATACAATCCACTTGAGCTAGCTCATTCTATGTTTTGTGGGGTTCTAACTGTATAACATTTGATGTTTAGGAGAGAGATGAGAACAACACAAGAAAATGGTGACAATGGACTTATTTCTGTATAGTTTGCAAAGCAAATTCTTACTTACATTTGCAAATTTTTCTGTTCAATGCTTATATTACATATCATGTCTACTATGCTTTACATGACGCTCTATTGCCGCATACATACAGGTACCTCATTGTTTTAGATGATATATGGGATACAGAACCATGGGAGATAATAAGATGTGCTCTACCTGACAATGGCCTAAAAAGCCAAATAATCACAACTACCCGCATAATTGATGTTGCTGAGCATGTTGGCGGTTGCTACAAGATGAAACCTCTTACCCACCTGAACTCCAAAATATTATTCTATGGACGCATATTTGGCTCCGAAAGCGAGTGTCCTAAACAATTTTCTGATGTCTCTGAAAATGTTCTGAAGAAATGTGGGGGTGTCCCATTAGCCATTGTTACCGTATCTAGCTTGCTGGCTAACAAGTCAAGAAATGTAAATGAGTGGCATGATCTGTGTGACTCAATTGGATCTGGACTCGCAAACAACCTGGTATGGACAGTATGAGGAAGATATTGCTGCTTAGCTATTATGATTTGACTCCACAACTGAAGACATGCTTACTATATCTAAGTATATTTCCTGAAGATTATGACATTAAGAAGTACCGGTTGATACTGAGGTGGATAGCTGAAGGATTTGTCCATCCGCCAGGAGATGGGAGGCAAAGCTTATATGAGATTGGACAGAGATACTTGATCGAGCTTCTAAATAGAAGACTGATCCTGCCAGGAGGCATCCATGATGATGGCATGTCTCCTCTTAGTTGTCGGGTGCATGATATTGTGCTTGATCTCATATGTTCCTTGTCCAGAGATGAAAGTTTTGCTACCATTGTATATGGTGACTGCAAGCAAATCACATCTTCAGAAAGCAAGGTTCGAAGGCTCTCTATCCATAATGTTAGTTGCCCTACAATGAACATGTCAAAATTGAGGTCCCTTACTATCAACAATTCTGCTACAATTAATTCGATGCCACCTTTTTCGTGCTATCATCTGTTGTGTGTACTGGATCTTGAAGGTTGCAATCTTTATTACCTTCCTAGTCTAGAGTTTGTTAGTAAATTATTTCACCTGAGGTTTCTAAGTCTATATGAGACTAGATATGCTGGCGACATCCCAAGAGATATTGGGAAACTACTTTTCTTGCAGACTTTTATGTTCCGCGGAACTGATATTAAAGAAGTGCCACTGAGTATCTTCGGGCTAAGCCAATTAATGTGCCTTACTGTTGGACACAGAACAAGGCTGCCAGCAAGTGGGCTAAGAAATCTATTAGCCCTGGAGGTGCTTCGAATGAATGTGGATTCTGCATACAATGCCGAAGAGCTTGGCCATCTGACCCAACTGAGGGTGCTAACTGCATGCTGTGCTCAGAAAGGACAAGGAAGGCAGATGGGATGAAAGCATTAGCAGAGTTCTGGTGGAGTCCCTTGGCAAACTGCACAAAATCCAAACTCTAGCGGTACGAATCTTTGATGACATGGAAGTTGATCTTGAAGGCTCAATGGACTCCCTGTGGAACCTATCTCATCTTATTGTTTCTGGGACCAGTCGGTTGCCGACATGGATCGATCCCACATCATTTCTCGTCCTACACCACCTGCACATAGTCGTGGGTCAAGTTCAAAGTGAGGACATGCAAGTCCTCAGCATGCTGCAGGCTCTTCGTGTTATCACAGTGGAAGTGTCTGGCACCAAACAAGTGTTTGAAAGGTTCATGATCAGCTCACATGCCTTCCCATGTGTGACCTGGTGCCTATTCTCTGGGTTTTCATTGGTGCCATCAATGTTCGAACCTGGAGCTATGCCCAGGGTTCAAAGTTTTAACTTTGATATCCGACCAGAGGATTTCAGTATTAAAGAATTTAATGTTGATGTCCTGGCCTTGCGCCACCTTCCGTCCCTTCAGACTGTTCATGTTCGCCTTGTTGGAGATGATAGAGTCAGTGAAGAGTTGGTAATCTGTTGTAACACGGCCTCGACGGGTGGCGAAGGCCTCCGGCGGCGAGGTGTCACCAAATAGTTTTCGACCGTCTTAGGGCGGAGATCTGGCGCTGACTAAAGGAACTTTTCTGGCTATGCTCGTAGGGCGCTGCACGAGGCTCAGCGAGCCTGTCGCGGATTCCACCCGGGCCAGGCACAGACATCTCCGGCCGCTCAGGCGGACGCCGCCCCGCTTCGTCTGACGGGCGTCTCCGGCGCTGAGGGCGGAGGCCGCCCTACCCCCGAACTAATCAAACAAACAATTTTGTCTAAGTGTGTGCAGGTACCTAAGCGCAGGTGTCCGTGGTCCGCGCGAGCGCGCCAGCATGGCCCCTGCGCGGCCGGGCGGAGACCTACGGATGATGTCTCCGACCGAACCGGCGGAGACCCGCGTAGGCAGCGGCGCGCCCCTGAAGACGGAGGCCAGCATCGGGAACCCAGGCCTCTGGGCCGAAGACCGAGGCACGGTGGGCCGGTCGCTTATGAAGGCCCATTGCTTGAAGACGGTGTGGCAGGATTGTATCGCAAACAAGAGACTAGTGGCAGAATATTCTAGGAATGTACTGTAGCAGTTGAGGGGCATTGTAATAAATTCTGTCAAGAAGTAGTTGAGCCCTATAAATAGGGAACACTTGTAACAGTGCAGGTGGGTGGTGGATGAATGAATGAAACCTTAGCTTTCTGTGCCAATTTCTTACACGCCCACCTGTCGTGCCTATCCCGAGCCTCCGCCCGAGGGCGACACTCGACGGGCAGAGGCCTCTGTCTCCACGCTGTCTGAGACCGCTAGTCTCAACATTGGCGCCCACCGTGGTTTGGCCAAGGCAAACCAACAATGGCAGGGAAAAGAAAAACCACCACCAGAGCAGCAGCGACCACGGGTCAGCAAGGAAGGCCTAGACGCAACACTCGTAGCACCTACGCAACCACGCCAGTGGAGGATGACACCAGAGCAGATGCCCAGGGTCAACCACCGGAACCCCAAGATCCAGAGATTCAAGATCCGGAGGCCCAACCAAACTCAGCCACAACACCCGAGCAAGAACTGCAACAGCTGCAAGCACAGTTGCAAAGAGCGCAACAAGAGAGGGACAGAATGGCAGCGGCATTCGTAGCTAATCAGCAAGCTATTCAAGTGTCAGCACAAGAAGCAGAAATAAGGTAGCAGTTGGCAGTCCTACATGCTGAGATGCTAAGTATGCAGCATGTAGTACCAGCGTTAACCTCCGCAATCCTAGCCTCCGTAGCAACACCAACTGCAACCATTCTACAAGGCCCTCCGCTAGTGATCAGTCAGTCCACGATGCCATCTCAGGTGATGCGGAGGCCTATCGATCTCAAGTCCCCACTCTCTGAACGCATACAACAGTCGCCATGGCCAACAGCGTACAAGCCAATCACACTACCAAAGTTCAACGGAAAGACAGACCCCCATCAGTTCATTATGAGTTACGAGGCAGCAGTAGCCTCCGCCGGCGGAGACGACGCCGTCTTAGCAAAGTCATTTGTCATTGCAGCCGAAGGCGACGCGCTGGCTTAGTATTCTATGCTCAAACCAAGCACAGTTTATTCTTGGGAGAACCTCCGGGACAAGATATTGGCAAACTTCAAGGGGCTAACAGCACAGTCGCTGACTTCTACAGATCTGTTCCAGTGCAAGCAAATGCAAGGAGAGATACTACACGACTACTTCCGAAAATTCGTGCAACTAAAGGCGAAGGCACCAGACGTCCCAGACGAGATCGCCATTGAAGCAGCGATCAAAGGCCTCCGAATCGGGCCGTTCGCAGCACACCTAGCAAGAAAGAAACCAACTTCCATACAGCAATTGTATGATGAGTTCGAGAAGTACTGCAGATCAGACAATGACCTCCGCAAAAGGCTGGAGGAGCAAGGTCAAAACAGACAACAAAACAGCAGCAAAAATTCCCAGAAAACCTATACGAACCAGAATGCATCAAATCAGAAACCAGGCTAGGGGCAAGTGCTCAGCATTGAGGGTCAACCTCACCCCGAGCAAGGGCAATAGGCAGCGCCAACACGGCCGAAGACACAGACAAGGAACCAAGGTCGGCAAGGTTACCAAGGCAAAAACTGGAACAAAAACCAAAGCCAGAAACAACGCAGGCCATATTGCGTTTTTCACGGCGAAAACGCAGGGCACAGCACCAAAGATTGTCCGGAGACAAAAGAAACACAGGAAAGGATGAAAAACAAGCAGACTGTCTAACCTTCGACACAGCAGAGCGCAAGAGAGGTCAACACCACCTACACAACTGGCCACCAGCAGTACTGCCCAATGTACCCAGCGCTAAACGTAACCCAAATACATCCCTCCACACTGGCCTCTGCCTATTACCCAAACTTCCTACCAGCATGGCGGTCATCGCCTTCGCAGTAGCCTCCGGCGGGCAACTACAGGTCGGAGGCAAGCCTGACCTACATAAACCCAAAATCTCCCCATATAACCTACCTCGAAACAAACCCACCGGAACAAAACCAAATAAGGTTCGAGCCTCCGCCGCAACAGCACCACATGCAGCAACTGCCTCCACCGCCACCTCACAACCAACCACCAGCACCAAAAATGAGCCAAACCAAGAAACCCAAGTCAACCCCCATGGACCGCTACCAACAATAGGCATGATACTACCAATCGCCGGAGGATCATCAATGGAGTTTCAAACAAAAAAATAGAAAAAGGATCACCTCCGCCTGGTAAACAATGTAGCAGTCCAAGGCCCAGCGAAACACACAGATTGGTCCAGAGTCCCAATCACCTTCACAGAAGAAGATCTCCAGCTAGAGAGCTACCCTCACGCAGACGCAATGGTGATCAAGACCAACATAGCAGCATGGGAGATAAGCAGAGTACTGATCGACACTGGCAGTTCAGCAGATATCATTTTCGCAAATACCTTCGACCAAATGAAGCTCAGCAGAAATCAACTACAGCCCTCCGAATCCCCTTTAATAGGATTCAGAGGCAAGCAGATACAAGCATTAGGAAAAATCTCACTCCTAGTGTCGTTTGGAACCCAAGCAAATGCTAGAACCGAGTACATAACCTTCGACGTCGTCGATCTGTATTACCCATACAATGCCATCTTGGGTAGAGGATTCACAACCAAATTCAACGCAGCCTTGCATATGGCCTACCTATGCATGAAAATACTAGCACTCCATGGTATTATCACAGTCCGAGGCAGCCAGAAAGAAGCAAGAAACATAGAAAAAGTTATCTACATAGCCCAAAGAAACATCAATGCAGTCGAGTCGGCAGACAAAGAACTAGAGCCTCCGGATATGCCCAGAGGAAAAACAGATATGGCAGGTCAAGAAGAGACAAAGCTGATCCCTCTAGAAAAGGAGTTACCAGACAGAAAAGTAACAATCAGCTCAAAATTGAGCAAGGCAGAGGAGGAAGAGTTCATGGAAACTCTAGTAAAAAACAAGGATATCTTCGGCTGGTCAGCCTCCGACCTCCAGGGAGTCAGCAGGGACATCATACAGCACGAACTGGATATCAATGAAAACATGAGACCAAGAAAGCAGAAACAGAGAAAAATGTCGGAGGACAGAATCCTGGCAGCAAAGGCGGAGGTGCAAAGATTGCTAGATGCAAAAGTGATCAGAGAAGTCAAGTATTCAGAATGGTTTGCAAACGTAGTACTAGTACCAAAGAAGAATGGCAAAATGAGAATGTGCATAGATTTCACAGATCTGAATAAAGCTTGCAAAAAAGATCATTTCCCATTGCCAAGAATAGATGCCTCCGTCGACAAGGCAGCCAGATGCCAGAAGTTCTGTCTCCTCGACTGTTTCTCTGGGTATCACCAAATCTAGATGAAAAAAGAAGACAAAGACAAGACAAGTTTCACCACTCCATTCGGAACATATTGCTACACCAGAATGCCAGAGGGCCTCAAAAATGCCGGAGCAACCTTTGCCAGAATGACAAAGGAAGTTTTGGGCTCACAACTAGATAGAAACATCATAGCCTACGTCGACGACATAGTGGTCATGAGCAAGAACAAGAATGATCATGTCTCCGACTTACAGGAGACCTTCGCCAACCTCAGGACAGCTGGCCTCCGCCTCAACCTAGAAAAATGTATATTTTGAGTCACAAAAGGGGAGATGCTCGGTTATATCATAAGCAGCAAAGGCATCAAAGCGAACCCAGACAAAACCAGAGCAATAATGATAATGGCAGAGCCAAAAAACAAGAAAGAAGTGCAAAAGCTGACGGGAAGAATAGCAGCGCTCAACAGATTCATCTTAAAATCAGCATGGCCCTGCGCGGCCGGGCGGAGACCTACGGATGATGTCTCCGACCGGACCGGCGGAGACCCGCGTAGGCAGCGGCGTGCCCCTGAAGACGGAGGCCAGCGTCGGGAACCCAGGCCTCTGGGCCG